TTCTTTTGAGAAGTGTCTGTTCATGTCTTTTGCCCACTTTGTAATGGGATTGTTTGTTTTTTTCTTTTCAGCACGTTTGAGTTCCTTGTAGATCCAAGATGTTAGGCCTTTGTCAGACATGGAGTTGGCAGATACTTTTTTCCAGTCTGTGGGCTGTCTCCCTGCTCTCTTGATGTTTCTTTGGCTTTGCAGAAGCTTGTCAGTTTAATGAGGTCCCAACTCATCTTTGACAAAGCCTCTACCACCTGCCACTGGGGATAGTAGAACCTATTCAGTAAATGGTGCTGGGAAAAGTGACTGATCACATGCAGAAGATTCAAACAAGACCCCTGTCTATCCCCATACACAAAAATTAACTCTAAATGGTTCAGAGACCTAAATGTAAAACCTCAAATCATAAGAACCTTAGAAAATGCAGGATACACCCTTATGGAAATTGGAACTGGCATCCAATTACTGAACAAAACCCGAAACGCACAGGCCATAAGAGATAAGATAGAATACTTTTAATTTCTGTTATAAATACATATCTAATATATTGCCTTTTAGTTGGCAAGGTGAAAAAATAATGTCTTAAACACTACTATACTCTTTAACCTCATCTTGATAATTCTACAGCCTAGAATTTGGCATCCTGTTAAAAGTAGTATGCCCCAACCCAGGCAACTTGGTGAGATCTCGTCTCTACAATAAAATAAAAAACTAGCTGGGCACGGTAGTGCATGCCTGTAGTTCTGACTACTTGGAAGGCTGAGGCAGAAGGATTGCTGGAGCCCAGCAGGTCATCGCTGGGGTGGCTGTGAGCATGCCACAGCACTCCAGCCTGGGTGACAGAGTGAGACTCCAACTCATAAATAAACAAACAAACAAATAAATAAAAGTAGTATGTTGGTGTTTTTGCAATCTTAGCTTTCAGAAATTAGGGGTGATGACTCAGGTAAGCAGTGGGAAGTAGTTATGGGAAGGGGTTGATCAAGCGTGTTATTCACTCAGCAAATATTTGTGTTCATATTATGGGCTATGCAGTGTTCTGTGTACTTGAGAAATAACAGTGAACCAAACAAAGATCCCTTTACTACATCTTGGAACTTACATTCTGTTGGGAGAGACAGATAATAAACAAGCTTAAAATATGAGTAAATTATATCATGTATATTATATTGTATATGAATTTTTATCCCTTAGCATATTAAATACTCAGGATGATGTGGATCTGGAGTGATGGAAGTGGGGAAAAGGAGGGAGAGTAGTTTGCAGTATTATTAACTGTTTTTCAATGATTACATTATGGTTTCTTTGCCATTGGTTTCAAAATGATAAATTGTAAATCAGTGGTGATCATTCATATTGACATCCTACGTTTAAATATGTCATCTGAAACCTTAGTGTGAGTTATTGCTGGATTTATAAAAGGTGGCAGTGAAAACATTTAAATCATAATTTTGTGTATGGATAGATTATAATCAATATATGAGAGAATAGTGCTGATGAAACATACTTGGAAGTTGTCTTTTTAAGTCATTTGCCAAACGGTTTCTTGAATTCTAGCTTTTTTTTTTTTTGAGTTGGAGTCTCACTCTGTTGCCCAGACTGGAGTGCAGTGGCTGCTCCCGGCCACCGCAGCCTCAACCTGCTGGGCTCCGGGGATCCCTCCGAATTACAGGCATGTGCTACCACGCCCGGCTGATTTTTTGATTTATTGTAGAGATGAGGTCTCGCTGCCCAGGTGGGTCTCGAACCCGCGTTCTGACACCTTCCATTAACTCTGGAGATTGAGCGTTTCTCAGTTCCTTTGTATAGCTATATGCCTTAGCTTCATAAATTCAGTGAGAAGCAACATAGTAGTAGAAAAGGCTATGCCTGGGCTCTGGAGACATACTTGACTTTACATCCAAATTTTACAATTTGTTATCTATGTAATGTGGTGTAATTTTAGAAACTTTATGCTGCCACTCATGCAGTCACTTGAAACATTGTTTCCTCATATTTGTAAAAGAAGGCTAATATCTACCTGCTGTGGTTATATGAAAAACAGAAATCATTTATGTAAACTACCTAGCACAATGCCTGGCACGTTTGAGAGGTGTAATATATAAGAAGATACTGTTATTTATTTTTATTCTGTAACATTAGACAGTATTAGGAAAGTCCAAAAGTATATTACTACTGCCAGGAAGTCAGGTGGATTTTACACTTTAAGAATTTTTTAAATCTTGGAAGGTTAAAGTTGAAGGCTCATCCCTAGAACATCCCACTGATTCTTATGACCTAGCCGCTGTCCATCCATTATAAGGATTGATTAAAATGATTTTCAACTATCTGTCTCCTTAAAGGACTTGTGAAGTTTTCAGTATAAAAGTTTGGCATCACTCCAGAGTTGAGTTATATTGTTACTAGGGCTAGAATTTTTATCTGGGGCAGTAGTTTGGCTTTGGAAGGAAGGGAGAGATCCACGGACAGTAGGAGAGTGAGGGGAAAGTGCTCTTGCTGGTGGGACTTGATTTGCTTAGAAAATTGTGTTTTTCATTACAGCTGTTTCTTTGCACCTGCTCTTCCTTATTGCCAAATGCAGCTAGGGAAATAATACAGTAGAAAACAGCTGACATAGTTATACGTTTTAAAATTCACTTTAATGGATTTTGTTTTAGTCTAGAGTCAGGCTTAATCATCTGTTTTCAAATAACTGAAAGTGACTTTGGACAGCAAGATTATATGGTCTGTTGGCTTTATTTTGTATATTTGAAGGCAGGGATAGTAAAGTTCACTGATTTGCCTAAGAACAGAGCAGTATTTTGAATCCAGGTGTTCTGACTCTTGTTTGAGTCCATTTTTTGCCTCTTAATTAAGCTTGTTATAGATGGAAATGAATCAGTGTTGGCATGTATCTTAATATTTAAAACACATGCCAAGTGTCTACTTTGTCATTATAGCATGGAATCCTTTTGGTTACATCATGGTACTATATTCATTCACACTTGAGTCCCAATCTGTTGATCTCTTCTCAGCTGTGTTTTAATGAGATTGTATTATACTTAAAAATTTCAACGTATTAGCTGTTTAATGTATGATATATGCTATTCTCTTCGGTAATTAGTTTTTCTGTTTTTATTTGAACAGTTTAAAAAGGAACTACCACTTCTTTGCTTAAGCGTTGTTGGCTTTCATTCCAATTCCCTGATGTTTGTGTGTCATTAGACCTGAGTTAATGGAGCATGATTATAGGGCCCTGACTTCTAAGAGGCAGGGGATCCTTTAATGAGAAGCTTGTGTACACTAGTTTAAGGTATGAGATTATTTTACTTAAAACTTTTGTTTTTTAAATCTCACACTTTGTATATAGTATAAATAGTGTTTTAAAATTTTTATCACAATTCTTTCCCTTAGACAATTTTATATTGAACTTTAGAATAGATGACAAGAAGCTACTATGACATACCCGATGGCCCATCAGATTTGAGGAGTGTCATAGAGCACAATTTATAAACATTGTTCTAAGTTACTGTAGGTTGGTCTTGGTTTGTTGTTCTTGATTTTGTGTTGATCCTTGTAGAATGGGGACCTCACAGTACACTATGAGGGACCTCATAGTGTGAGTTTTATATATTAACCCGCTAAGGTTAGATGGTCATATGGATCTGTTGTGAATTGAGAGAGAAAGGTAACTTATTGTTTCAATTTATACCAATTCCCTGGGATGTGTTAGTAGGACTTTCTAATCATAGTTTATTCTTTCTTTCTAAACTACTAAATCATTTACGTTTGCTCATTTATCATGTTATTAGATATGGTATAAAACCTTGGTTTCTAGTTACATTCGATGTAAATATTAGAGTATTTACTCGACTCATTTAAACATAAGTTAATTGTTGATTGCTGTTTTATCTCCTGATTTTTTTTTAATTTCTGTTGTGTTTTTGCATTATACCTCAACACAGGTGCTATAAGACAAAGCAAGAAATTGAGATTCCCCAAAACAGATGTCACTTGCATTGAATATGTCTGATTCATTGTATAGAATATAAACTCTTTAATAGATAACTTCAGTATGTTTTTAGTGTACACGAAAAAACTCAGTATATTAAAAAA